CTGAAAGGAAGGTGGCCTCCAGATGCCAAGCAGGAGCCAATGCACAGCCATGTTTGAGGGTGTGAGTTTTTGGGGAAAGGACCTGGTCCGGGGTTCTCAACCTTTATAGAACCCCACCCCCGAGCACTGCCAGCTCATAGCTTTCACTCATGTTTTTTGACTGCAGAACAAGACTAGAGCAGTTCTTCCATTGCAAAGAACTCAGAAAGACCCCAACAGGGCAGAGTGCTTTTAACACTATGGATTCCTACTGGAAATCTCTGGGTTTATCTCATGAATCAGGTGTGCACACCTGACAGTGCTAACATTGTGTGGCACCCCTGCTGTTATACCCTGGAGAGGATCTCACAGCACCCCAGGCTGCCTTAGCACCATGGCTGAGAATGACCAACCTAAGCAAGGGACTCAGAAAAGGAGCAGGTCACAACAACAAGTGGCTTACTTTTCGTACACATGTTGAATTTGGCTTCCAGTCTCTCCCTCTCAGCAGATGATGGCGTTACATGAGACTAAAAGCTTTCCTAGCAATACAACTGGTAGAACAAAAAATAATCGTAAAACCCACCTTGCCTCTTGTTCCTTTTAATTAGGAGTACGATGGTGAGCGCAATGCAGCAGGTGAACGGCATGGACATGGACGGGCTCGGTTACCCAATGGTGATACATATGAAGGAGAATATGCATATGGTCTAAGAAACGGACTGGTAAGATTTAGCACAGTCCTCTCTAACTGAAGTCATTCATGTGTTTCAAACAGTTTTATTAAGTGAGGCTAAAATGATAGTGAAAATTGACAAGCCCTATTATCTACACCAAATATGTTTCAGGGGACCTACAGATTTAAAAATGGTGCTCGCTACATTGGAGAATACCTTCAAAACAGAAAGCATGGCCATGGCATTTTTATGTATCCAGATGGCTCAAAGTATGAAGGTAAAGTGCTGACCATGATTCTGAGGATTTAAACACCTGAGAAGGCAAGGTTATACACTTAAGTGTTAGGAGAAAATAAGTCTAGTGCCACATTTCTAACTAGATTTCTAACACCAACATTTTTGTGTTTCTTTCCTGTTATTCCTGACTTTTTGCAAATTTGGGAGGTAAGTGGCTTGAAGTATTTGGCAGGGATTTATTTTGCTAACTCAATCAAGAGAATTTAATATTCCAAATTATACACACCATTGAGCAAAGTTTTTACATCCTCCATTGGAATAATAGAAGAGAGTTACAAGAGCAACAAGATCAAGAATATGTGTTCACATGTAGTGATTGAGCTCCTAGAATTGTAGATTTTAGTCCAGAGTATTTTTCCTCTTTCAGAGAATTATGTTATCATAATGATAAAGTGTAGGATTTATAGTTCCAGTGCACCCAAAACAGCGAAGAGTAGAAGTTCAACCTATAGACAGGTGTGCTGTGATCACTATCCAGCCTTGGCACAATTTAAAGCATCTCTAAGAAGTATTTATGACTTCTGGCATATGTTTATCAACAGAGAATTGGCCATGGCTGAGCAGGCTCTGCCACATACCCACTTTCTTCCCTGGACAGCCTCTGTCTCCTAACCTCTCCTTTTGCTATATTAAATGGTGGCAAGGAAAAGCTAAGAAATGTGCAGAAGATTAAATTAATGCATGCAGCAGAGTCTTTGGGCAAATTTATACAGAAAGAAAGCTTATGTAAGATTATTAGTGCTTAATTACAATACATAAACACTATTCAGTCACTACCAAACCTGGAGACACCTTCCTGTTTGACCTGAAAATTCTCTAAATTTCTGCGGTTCTTCTTCTGTTGGACCAGGACTTCCCTGATCCAACTCATACCAAAGCCTCATTGGCATGCAGAAACAAGGCAGAGAGACATGTCAGTCATGTGAAGACCTGTAATATATTAGATGGTGTGCAATACCAACTGTCTAGCCCTTGGCCAAGGAGCATTTCTTCTCATTCTTGGACATTTATGGGTTATCTTTGTGGAATAATTTCTATTTGGGCAGTACATTCTCTGTCTTATTCCAGTTCGTGACAGGGCACACAATGGGGAAACCTGGCTGTCTAGTAGTTTATGGCCACATGATGAAAGTTTTGTACAGAAATCACACCTTATAAGTCTTTCACTAGACTTAAGTAGTCAATAGTCCTCTTTCACCAGGCTGTACTGTCTATTTCTTGGTTCATTTAGACAGTCTTTCACTCCAGGCTGTCAGGCCCAATATTGACAATTCAAGAGTATGCTACATCATCATGTGGGGGTTGTGTTTACTCAGTGACTCACTATGATCTCTCACCCTCTGCATACTGGTAGTGTCTTAGCATCTCTTACTCTGGGCGAGGTTAAGGTATGGGAATCCAGGCCTGTCAAGCTCTTCTGGTTTGAGGTCCTGACCCTGTCTGGCTATGAAGATCTCCTACAAATCCACACTCCACTGGATCCATGAACCATGGAATTTATTATCAACCATCTTCCTTAGCTTGTTTCATTTTCCAGTTTCCTCAAACCTCTTCAGTTCACTCAGCTCTAACTCTTCTTTTTTGCTGCTCCTTTTTTCTAGTCACTGGCTCTGTACTGCTCTTCTCTGTAGTCTTCATTAATCCTCTGTTCTGGTACCCCAGTTTTCTCCACGAGCTGTTCAGCACCATACTTTTGACTAGAGCAGGGGTTTTCAACCTTTTTTGGTTGGTGTAACCCTGGCGGCTGCTTGAGAAGTGGGGAGTCCCTCGGCGGCCAGTTGATGAGCAAAACTGGAAGTGCCAGCGGCTTTTCCATGCTGCAGCCACAGAACCCCTGGGGCCTTCCAAAGTAGCCTAGGGGTACACGTACCCTCGGTTGACAACCCCTGGGCTAGAGCTTTAGCCACCAGACTGCAGCTCACTTCTTTTCCTGAATCAGCCCTTATATAGTCTCAGGTGGTGGAACCCATATTGGGAAGTCTCCAGTCTTAAAGGGCCTGCAGAGGTGCCTCCCTGTGCATCTATGTAAATGGAGTTAGGAAATGCCGTTACAACACAGAAAAATGGTTTGAGGCTGATTTATTTTCTGTGTCTTCTTTTGACAGCAAGGAGATTAGTTGAGTCAAACTCTTATCTTCTTCATTAACTGTTTTAAAGAATTTTTTTCTAAGAAGTCATTTAATTCCAGGATTAACACTTTTCTGCAAAAAAGCTTTGCTTTCTTTTCAGTAGAGATTTTAACACAGTCCTAGTACAGAATAGTATCAGCTTTAAACAAAAGAGTAAAAACTAGAGACTGAATTTTGAAATGTCAGGGCCAAACTTAGGCACTTAATTGAATAGATGGAGATCTAGATGTTAATGGCTCAGGCCCATTACTCAATATCTTTTCTATGGAAATCAAAATACACAGTTACTTGTAACTGCCTAAAGTTTAAGCAGACAAGTTTGTAAATGTGGACACTTAAAACAGGTTAAAAGCATATTGCAGCTAAGATGTAGGATCTTTTTGGGAGTCTTGAAAATATTTTCACACTGTTCTTTTATTTGATGATCTAGAACATCCCAGATCGCAGTGGTGATTTGAATAGAAAAATTATCATAGAGTTGTTTTGGGTTATGATTCCCAAAGAAGTCCTGAAAAAGGTTTTTGACCACATTATAAATTCAAGTCCTATATAGGGCATAAGACTATGTTTATTAAAAAGTCATTGAAACTGTGCCATCTGAAGTATCAGTAGCATAAATATTTAAGTTATTAAGAATAAAGGAATTCAGCTGGATTTTTATAATGGGACCACCATCTTTGGTCTGCGTGTAGAATTGTTATGTGTTGTCACATCTACACGTGCAATTAATGTGAAGCAATAAACTCTGGGGTTTATAATGGGACCACCATTATATACCATTGCAAATGCAATGGGACATGTCTGCAGCACCACATACTGCACATTCAGTTGTTCATGCTGCAAGGGAAATGCTGCAAGGGATATCCTGGGGTCAAAAAAAAACACAGAAAGAAAAGTGGAGAGGCATATATGGTGGCAGTGTGTGCCGCCCAAAGCTGGAGTCTGGCTGGCTAGAGCCACACTCTGCTGCTGGCCAGACTCTGTTCAGCAGGATCACCGGTGCTGCAACCCTGGGAGGCCTCTAGGACCCTAGGTAAGGCTGCTGGAGTCAGCCCCTACACCACCCAGGGTAACTTACCATGCGCCAGAGCATGCATGGCACAGGCATTCCCTGGCGATAGCTAGCAGTGGCACAAAGCGCGCAAAAAGCACGCAGCTGCTAGTTGTCCTCAGGGAACCAAATGTCCACACACATCTGGACACGGCCACAGTAGCTCCCTTTCTTAGTATAGCTTTTCAAAAACAATACATTGTAGCTTCCTTCAGTCAAGGGTCCAGCTTGAGAAAAGCTGACAAACAGAAACCAATTCTTGCTGCAATTAGTCTTTGAACTTCAGTATAATTTTTCTGTACAAACCAAGCAAATAAATCATTCTCCAGTTCCTTTGCTCAGGTTTGATTTAAGAATCTTATTGGGTTTAAAAGTGAAGGTATAATCTCTCTGGTGTTTGGAGGGGGGCAACTGACTTTTTATAGCGTCCTCACATCCTGACAGATCCGAACTACTAGTTCTTCCCTCCATGTTTGGTACCTCAAGTAGCCTTTAAAGTCAATTTTCTCTTTTTTAGCTAATGAAGGTGTTTAGTTTCTGTTACACTGAGTGAAGGGGAACACACTCCCCTTCACAGTAACTCTGCTTTGTTTCTTTTTTTCTAACCCCCATTTGATTTCAACAGCTCATTAACATTTTGCGGAAAGGAGACTTGTTAAAAATTCAGCACACAAAATGATGTTTGGGTTCACAGTAAGAGGAAAACCATATTTGCTTTCCAAAGGCAAGCCCACCCCTGCCCTTTGCTCCCACCCCACAAAAATAAACCTTTTAAGGTTTTTTGGCCAGTCATAAAGAAGCAAATAAAAGGCATAAGCCAAAGTTTTAAAAATCCTATTTCAGGTCAGCTTGAAAAAATGGGTTTATCATTATATTATTTTTTATTCATTTCCTCACATAAAGATATACAAAGTCTTTGATATTACAAGCAGAAGAGCTTAGTCAGCACAACAAAAAAGGCAGGAGGAGTAAACTTTTGTAAATGTAAGCAAAATACATATTTCAGTTTATAAAAAAAAGAACTAGTTTAAACCACAGGCTTGAGATAGAGATGTTCTCACTTTGTATGAAGTAGGACTTCAAATGCCAAATGATCAGTGTAAAGTGACCTAGATTTTTTCAGAGAAAAAAAAGTCTTTGAAGCTACTATGAATGTTGACTGTTGTTTTAAAATTATCAGATTGTGCACCAACTGCCCTCTAAACAAAAATGTCCAGGCTTTGGCAAACATGCTAAACTGTTGATATTTTAAGAGGTATTTGCTATGGCTAAATACTCAGTCACATGGCAACATAAGCCTATAACACTATAAGATTTCTTGCCAGGAGATGGGACCTGTCAGTACTACCCAGAATGTTATATAGCTTGTCTAGTTCATCATAACATAATATATATTAAAGCGGATGAGGTATGAACAAATGTAAAAATATATAGTTACAGTAAAAGAAAGATCAGGCAGCTGAATAGCAATTTGTGGACAAGGGCACAGAATGAAGAGAAGGATTTGAGAGTAAAGTGGGGAAAGCAAGGAAAGAGAGTGGTAGTAGAAAAATGAGACAGCCCAGAAGAGGGAAAAGGAGTGTGAGACATATGAAAGGGGGCACAATCAGGAAAGAAGGGAGGGAGCCAGAGTGACATAGACTGTTCTTTCTAGAGTGAGGACCTGATAAATGATCAGCTGCTTTTGTCTGAACAGAAAAAACTGGTGTGAAGGGGCAATTGAGGATTTTCCCTATGTGACAGTGTGTTGGAAGCATCCTGAAGGCAAACAGTGGCATGGAGGGGTGCAATGTCTGACTGACAGAACGGTCCCTAGGAGACTGGTCTACTTGACACAAGTTAGAGCCTCTCTGCAGGCCCACATAACTAGGCTTTTAAATAAACTTCCCTGTCCGCTTGTTACCAATTATGCATTGAATGAAATGGCTTAGTTCATACAATGTGATTGCTGTTATTTTAACTTTACAAACAAGGATGTAAAAAGGTGTGAAAAGGTCAAGAGATTTTGGAGCAGACAGGTAGAATTTGAGAATCCTGTATGCATGCAGAAACATTCCTTAGATAGCACATAATCTCTCAGGGCTTGAGTAACGAAGAGGTGAATAGCTGAGCAGAGGAGGAAAACAGTTGAGAATACTGTTTCACAACTAGTAGTAAAACCGTGCATGCTCAGATATCCAGCTTCAGAAGCAGAATGTCATCTTGCACTCCTTTATGCATGGCTATTTTCTACATTTTCTCCTTCCCTAGTTCCTTTTGTTCACAGATCATTGCAGAGGTGCACAGTTGAGTACATCCAGTACATTCTAATACTGTAGCTCTGTGGTTGCTTAGAAGATGTTCTAGTGCCCTGATCAGGTCCATGGTTCAGAATATTTTTCCTCCCCCTTTTTGAGGCTTAAAGCCTTCTTTCACTCAATAAATGGAATATGTCCTACTGATCAGTTCATGCTGATAACTTTTCTGTTGATGTGTCAAAAAGCCTTTAGCCATCTGTAAATATGTCACTAATAACAGCAGTAATGATCAAGTGATAAAAACCAGATTTCTGTTGAAAAAAGCCGGCACTGTTGTAATCTTATTTATTTTTGAGTACAAACAGACTACACAATGATCTACAAACCAGCTTTTCCTAGAGGCTACTTGACAACTATCTTTGCCTTTCACATTCAGGTAGAAGATCACTGAGTTAAAAATTGCTTCTTTTCTCATTGTAGTTATTTACAGAAATTACATTGCCCTTAATCAGAGCTAATTTGGTATTTTGGCAGCTGTCATAATAATGGGCACTGACAGAAGTGACATTTGTCATGCAGTTGGTCTAATGAAAGTGCTCTACAGCTGTGCCCTGACACACGTGCATGGCTGCAGAGTGCTTTAAAAGTGGCTGATTACATGACAAATTAACCCTCATCTAATGAGGGATCAGATGAAGGTGCTGTCTGCAAAAAGGGAGGGGGGAGAGGGCAGAGAGAGAGAACTGTGGGCTGGGGCTTGCCTGACCTAAGCTGAAGAGAGTGGGGGACGGATTGGAGTCCCTCTGACTTGCAGAACCCCCTCCAAGCCCCCACCCCCTCCAGCTCAGGTCAGGCAAGCCCCTGCCTGCAGCTGCATCCCCCTCCCTTCCTGCAGACAGCTGGGGTGGGGGGAGGGCTAGAGGAGAGAGACTACAGGCAGGCAGTTCCTCTGCTGGGTCAGCTCCAAAGTTGAACTCAATTCCCCTCTCTTGCCCCCACGACAGTGAACGTCTGTTGGGTCAGGGGGAGGGGAGGATCACTCTAACTCCTGGTACTTTATGTGATATCATGTTATGTGATAAAGTTCCAGGAGTTAGAGCAAGGACCTGCATGTCTGTTGGTGCTCAACATTCTTTTTTGGTTGTTTAATTGTGTGCTATCTTCATTCACATAACATTAACTAGATGCCAGTACAATAGTTCTAAAGACTGATTAGCAGGACGCAAAGTGAAATTTATCACTTCCATCCTTTTTTTTTATCATGTCCATTGAAGGAGAATGGGTGGAGGATGAAAGACATGGCAACGGAGTATATTATTATGCAAATGGAGACACCTACACTGGAGAATGGTTTAACCATAGAAGGTTTGTTTCATGGTAACAGCAATCTTTCACTTTTTATAAGGACATTAAAACAACATGATCTTCTCTACAAATTTGTGGCTGCCTATATGAGAGAGAGAGCTGTGGGAGGGTTTTGTCAAACAAATCCAGTTTGGCCAGAAAGTGTGCAGTAAGAAAGCTCATTCCAATAGGCACAGACAGAAGACTGACTGAGTATGAATGCCTGAGCAAGAAGGATGTGCGATTGGAAATTCAGATGATGGTGCTTGTTTTAGTTATAAGTCTAATTCATTACCCGTGTAAAGTAATCCAGTATTTTAAATTTAAAGTAATGTAAAATAAAATTATTATTTGCCATTTCCCAGGCACGGACAAGGTACATACATCTATGCAGACACTGGCTCTAAATATGTTGGTGGCTGGGTTAATGGGAACCAGGAAGGAGGAGCTGAACTCATTCATCTGAACCACAGATACCAGGGCAAGTTTGTAAATAAATACGTAAGTGTGTTGGAAAGTTTGGTTTTATTTGAAAACACTTTTTCACTGTCCCAGTTTGGGCTGTTTGCATTGAAAATTCTCATCATTTAATTTAGCCTTGGAACCATAAATGTAAGAGAGAAAACATAATCCACTGGTCAAATAGGAAAAAAAAATGTTTTAAGTATAAAAGCCAACCTACACATGTAGTTTGCATAGCGTTTTGTATAGCTTTCAGTATTTTTACTGAATTGTATAATGTATCTTGCATTTACTCCTTCAAAGTTTGATAACTATAAAGTCTTTCTAATTCTTTTCTCTTTTTTTTTTTTGAAGCCAGTAGGTCATGGAAAGTATGTCTTTGATATTGGGTGTCAACAGCATGGGGAATATGTACAATCAGATCTGGTAAGCAATATAGTACAGACTACACTAAATGTCAGAAAAAATGTTTTGCTTTGCGCTTTGCAAGTGCAAACACACAGAAAGGCCATTTCTACTCCCAGTGCAAGAAGCAGTAGTGCACTGAAATCAGTATCATCCCCTAAATGTTCTAGGCTTCAGGAGGAAAAAATTAGATGGACAGCACTCAAGCTGAGGCTGCTTTTGAAAATATGCCCCATTATTTTCTTGTTTCTGTGACAGGCAAAGTACCCACAACTCGCATTGATTTCTGTGAGAGTTGTTAGTTGATAGCTGGTATGGGGGCCAATTTTTCTCTCTGCCTCTTGAGTTTGGATCTTTCAGACATATTTCTAACTACCTAACCAAAGTGCAACAACAACACCACCTCACTTTTATAGTAAGTCTTGGCCTAAATTTCTGATTTCAAGTTAGTGAACATGATGCATTTTGCTTGGATTTAGCCTGCTCTTTTTCTGAATTGCCTCACACACTAGTTTACAGCTTCTATTTTAGACCATCTCAAAACCTCCACAATGACACCTAAATTAAAGCTTTAGGTGATTTGTAATCTATATTTATTTTTACTCCTGGTATAAGGAGACTTTCCACTTTTTCTTTCTGCACTGAACAGAGGCCTGACTGGCCAGTACCACAACCTTGGCCAGTGGCAGTGCGTGATAGAGAGTCGGAGGTTCAGTACTGTGTGTTGGGGGACGTCAGCTTCCTTTTTGTCACCAACGTGCATGTTTAGTGGCCATTTAAATACCAATTTTTGATGGCAAAAAAGGATGTGATTCCTTTCCCTGAAGCAATGAACCTCCACCCACTGCTGCTACACCATGTGCTGCTACTGCTACTTGGCCTTCCTTGCTTTCAGCCTCTGCAAGGAAGGTGCAGGGTGCAGGGGTGGGAGGGAAATAACGGATGAGAAGGTAAGGTGCTCTCTTATGTCCATTCTGGTTTCCCTCTATTAGGCAGCACCCAGAGTGCATGCCTTTCTCCCCCTCCCATTGTTATGCTACTGGCAATGAACGTGTCAAATGTAGTTCACTTGTATTTCTTTTTTCATTAATTTGCTTAGCTAATCCAATCCAAGGACAAGAGAGAGGGCAGCAAAGAACTGCCTTCTATTCCAGGGTATGGGAATGCACCTGCCATTGAAGGCTTTATCTTCTTGGAGCCTGGTTTAACAGAGGTGCTCTCTGGGTTGAATGAAGTGTTTCTGCATGGTTTACCTGCATGTAACAAAAGCTAAAAAAGGAGCATGGGAAAGGTCTGCATTTCTAATCTTTGATAGAGTTTAGAAATTAGAAAGTTTTGCTTTACCTTTATAAATACAGCTCCTGGTATTTATGTATTTTGTTTGCTAATACTTTGAGAATGATTATATCACTTTTTGGAACTGTCCGTGTTCCAGCAACTGTAGGTAAACAGAGTATTTGAGGTTCTGCAAGTGATTTTCAAACAGTATTCAGTGATCACACTGTTTTTGTGTGTGCAATGATGAAAGCTACTCTACAGAAAGAGACTTGGAGACATAAAAACATGAGTGATTCATTCAAAGTCATGGATAGTCAGTTACCAGGATCTGGGTTTCTGAACTTCTTCTTGAGAAGGTGTAGTTTCCTTAAGGTTAGAAAAAGTTGCAGCATAACATTTTACAATGCAAAGGAAAGAAAGTAATAACAAGGACAAAGTGCAAAGTGATAATAAAAAAACACTTTTAGCAAAGAGTATACACATGTATTGTATAAACTTCACTATTGCAGTCATAAATAGCAACAGCACCTAAAGGTGAAGTTACACATCACACTTAGACTATACTAAATCTATGGAATGTTAAGCACAGTTAGACCATACTGTGAGTATTTGCACATTAAAGGTTAATACTGTTTCTTGCCTGCACAGCTATGACTTACCACTGTAGGGCAGGTGAACAGGGTCATAGCTAGGTACCAGGGCACCTGGGGTGCATCTTGATGAGTGTGCATGTGCAAAGGTGTGTGCTTCAAGTGGGACAAATAGCAGCAGATAATTGTGCCACTGCTGTTTGTGCCAGGCATGCCCTTGCACGTGTGCTGTTGTGTGTAGCATATTGACTGGAGTGGGGCAGGGGAGTCTGGGGCCAGCACCTGTGTGAGCCCCAGTAGCCCTACCTGGACTCCTGGGGGCCTCCCAGGGCAGCAGTGGCATTGAGCTGGCCGTTCGGAGTCTGGCCAGCAGTCAGAGCATGGGAGGCTCAGTTTCTGGTGGCTCACAGTGCTGCTGCATACGCTGCATCACTTTATTTAGTGGTAGATTTTTTGCCACTGGAATCTCCTGGTGTCAGAAATAAATACCATGCTGCTAATTAGCAGTGCAGTGAACAGGTGCTCATGCACCATGTGGTTTGTGGTGCTTTAAATGGGTTTGAGGTGCCACAAACTGTATGTGTGCTCTCATCGAGACACAATCGTCCGCTCTATCTCTGCTCTGGGTCAGGCAAGAGGAGGGGGCTGGGAGTGATACATTTTGGGATGCCAGAGACTGAAAATTGCTTGTTTTATCTCCATGGAGGAGAATGAAAGCATGGCCATGATAACCCATGCTTGATGTGGCCTAAATTTGAGATGCTCACAGGGCACTTAGTATGAGCTATGAAGCTTTGAAGTGTGGACGCTAGCATTTTAAGCACCCTTAGAGTGGTCCAAGTCAATGTACATCTTCACTGTAACAGATTGAACTAAAGGCAAGGAACCAGGTTCTCCTGAGTTGAAAGCATAGTTCTGCTGTTGGCTTCCTGTGCAGCCTTGTGCAAGTCATAGTTTCTTCATCTGTAACATGGGGATATTTCTTCTGACTCAAGAGGAATTTCATGAGGATTAGCTAATATTTGGTTACTACTTTGAAAGTGTAAACCACTATTGTAACTACAGATGATTATAATTTTATGTAGCTGTTGGGTAAATAGCTACATTAAATATAAATCATAGAATTCTACTTTATTTTTTAATGAGCTGGTAGCTGTTTCTTCAAATGACAGATAATGCCAGTGTTCAGATATTAATTTCCTTTCTTTACTTTCAATGGAAATAATGTAACTTTGGTTTGAAATATTTACACATTTTCAGGCAAGGCGTTAGGAACAATAACACTCATTTTAGATGAATTTGTAAGCAAGAAGATTCAAAAGATTGCATGTGGCTGTAACGGAAGATTTGTGTGTGGGAGTACATGAGACCTTCAGCTAACCACCTCGTTTCAGCATATCAGCATTATTAGATATTTGTAAGCAAAATGTATCTTGCAACTGCACATCAGACCCCTGTTCAAAGTGTGCAGGGGTAGATGGGCCAGAGGCAAAATTTGACCTACCTACCTCGGCTGGAAGGATTTGTCCCTTACTTCTTAAATCCATCTGCTAGCTTTTGAGATGTATTGAGGAGGACTAGGTTATGTCTTTATGAATCTGAGCCACACTTAGGTGAGAGACAAGGTGCATTGATGAGGATGTTGCATTGGGCCGGGATGGTTTTTTTATATAGATATAGATAGATAGATAGATAGATAGATAGATAGATAGATAGATAGAGCGCATAATTCTTTCTCCCAGTTGAATAGGAGAGCAGTGTGTGCAATTAGCATAATTAGTGCTTGCTCAGTGGCCCTGGCCTCACCATTGACCTATGGAAAGAAGCCATTTCTGAGGCTAGGTAGTTTGTCTAGCACTTGCTCTCCCAATGCCTTCCTTGAAGTCAGTAAAATGGTGGCTGCAGATACCTAACCAGTTTTTTGACTGACTGGCTATGAATATGCTGCTCTGAGTTTTATTTATGTTATGTGCTCAGTTTTACAGTTTAGTTATTTATGTTATAGGGGAAACCATAGCATCCTTTGTAAAAGAGGGAAAGCAATGACTAGAATTATGAGGATATGTAAAGAGGAAATCATTAAGAAGATAGTTTTGCATCTTTGGCTAAGAGTTTAAAAGATGAGTACTTTTCTAAAATGAGGTAGCCAAGTCCATGTATAGGCATGTATCATGATTATCAAAAGTGTGAAGTGTCCAGCAGCTCCCATTGACCTCAGTACTTTGAAAATGAAGCCCTCGATTTAGATATCCAAATATCCAAATAGGAGCCTAACTTTAAGCATATGCTCATGCTTTTGAAAACCAGAGCCTCAAATCAGAGCCATCATTTTCAAGTGAATGCAACAGCAATTATTTACTACAGGCCATATTACTCCATTCTACTTACGGCAATGAGAAACTTCATTTATTTCCTGTAGTTTAGCGGTATCAAGCCCATTCTGGGTCCTGGGCCAGATCCAGACATCAAGTTCCTCCCAGGCTGAATCTGTGGGGCTGCATCCAGGCTGGGGGACAGCATGGATCCAGGGGCATGTGCCTGCATGGAGCTGGGGGCATGCAGCTGCATGGAACTTCATTCTGTCAGAGCTCTGAGCTGCTGCAGGCCATTGGCTCCTTGCAGATGCATGTCCCTGACTATGCTGTGTGAACATAGATCCATATAGCCACACTGCTTCAGATTCATGCTGCTGCATGCCCTGGGCACTTCTAACCAGAAGTTGTGCAGAGCAGGGAAGAGATGACAGCTGCAGACTGTCTTGCTCCCTCTCCTAGAAACAATTCTACTGATGGAAAATTTCCACTGCTAGAAATAAATGCCTCTTTGTGGCCCAAGTTTAGATAAGTTGAACCATCACAACCTATACTCAGATGACAAAAACATACAAAGCTTATACACAGTACTTCCTGTTACATCATGGATCTTACCCATGCATGACTGCACTACAGTGTGAAACCTCTGATGTGGTTATTGACATTTGTTTAGTGCTGCATTCAGGTGGGTAATTATGTCTGCTATGGGATGTAGCATATGCAAAAATGTGTGCACCTCACTGTGGCACTCTTAGTGGTGTGGATGTGCCCTGCATGTCCCCATGACTCTTCTGTACATGACAAATCTGACCCATTAAAAAACAAAATAAGCAAGCATTAAGTTTGAGACCAACATTGGAACTGTCTGATTGCTTCAACGTTATCTAGCCTGGCATTTTTTCTAAGGCTTGTGACTATTCAGGCTATTCCACATTAGCAGCATAGTTTGAAGGGCTGTATTGTTACCTTTCAAAGTTGGTGAAAAAAGATTTTAATCCCCACAAACTTGGTCTTACTCATGACCTTTACATTCCTAATGTTAATGCCAGATATTTTTTACGTTCATGTGGTTTCTAGGACAAAGGGGAGGAGGAAGAAGAGGAGGAAACTTTAGCAGTAATTGCTCCAAAATGGAAAGCAACAAAAATTACTAAATTGACTCTCTGGACTCCTGCCCCTGAGAAACCCCCACCTCCTGAAGAGCCTGCAGCAGCAGCAACAACAGCAGAAGAGGAGCCAGCAAATGCAGGTTTGTCCTGATGAACTGCTGGATACTTTGTCTTCCAAATAGTTTCATAGTTTCATAGTTAGTAGGGTCGGAAGGGA